GTGAACCCTCCTTCTAAAAAAATGGGTTCGGGTATAGGTTTGGGTTTAGTGAAAAATCTCTGTACCCGGTTCGGGTTCAAGTTTCGGAGAATAGGAAAATAATGAGATATTAAAATTAGTTAAAATAAAAGAAACATCATTTTTTTAAATTTATTTTTATTAATATTGCCATAAAAATAATTTATCATCATAATTATAAAATATTATATATAATATAATAATACAATACAATTTAAAAAATAACAATATATTTCTATTTTAAAAATTTTATTTAGGCGTATTATCAAAATATCTTCTAAATTGTCATTAAGATTTGCACGTAAGTCCGACAATATAAATTTTAATGATGAGAATGATCGTTCAACGCTAACCTAGTAATTAATTAAGTTTAGTATAATATGACGCTGAATAAATTTGGCATTCCATTAAACAACCACTATAACAAAATGGTGCAAATTTAATCAAGTCCATAAGATTATTAAATGAATCTGTGGAGGGGGAGAGTTGGGGTGAAGATGATATAAATGATGATATAATAAATGATGAAATAGCAGATCTGGACGAGATGTTGAAAGATTTAACTCCTAGCATTAGATGTGCAGCACACACATTACAGTTAGCCATTAATGAGACAAGTTATGGGAAATCGATTATTGAATAAGCAAGGCAAGTGCTAAAATTTTTAAGAACTCCAACGATCGTTAGAATCTTGAAATCACTGAAAAAACCTATGGCAACTGATTGTACAACAAGATGGTTATCGGTTTACGATATGCTGGATCGATTGATAAAATTGAAATATTTTTGTATGAACTTTGTTACAACATCGCAAGTTATTCTAGAGGAAACAGAATGGGATTCAATAGCTAACATAAGTGTGGTTTTGAAACCACCTGAGGTGCCAACCTTGAGGCTACAATCGGAGCAAATGTGCCTCTCCGATTTTTATGGCATTTGAATAAAACACCGTTTTAAATTGGAAAAAATAGACAATAATAGAGATATTAGAGAATATGAGATTTAGAGAGTATACTTATTTAAATAATAATATTTTTTATGCATCACTATAATTAGACCCCAGATATTAAATCCTATTAACCATTGATCAGGAAGAGGTTGCTAGAGCTCATTTAACGGAATTATGGTAAAAACAAAATCATTAGATTTAAATTATTGAATGTATCAACATTAATTTTAGCTACAAATTATCTTGATAATAATTTTGAAAAATTGTTATTAGAAAATGAAAAAAATAAATTAACACAGTATCAAAGTGAACAGATTTCAATTAGCTCATTATTATAAATTTTTTCACACATTTAAAGAATTAATAAGGATGCAAATATTTTAGACTTCTGGGAAGAGAATAGTTTAATTTATCCAGAATTATACACGTTGGCAAAAATTGTTCTAGGTGCCCCAGCAACACAGTACATTATATATATTATATTAAATTTAATTAATTACTAGGTTAGCGTTGAACGATCATTCTCATCATAAAAATTTATATTGTCGGACCTATGTGGAAATCTTAATGAAGATATTTTAGAAGATATTATGATAATTCGCTTAAATAAAATTTTTAAAATAGAAATATAATGTTATTTATTAAATTGTATTGTAGTATTATATATAACATATTATAATTATGATAAATTATTTTTATGCCAATACTAATTAAAATAAATTTTTTTAAAAAAATGATGTTTCTGTTATTTTAACTAATTTTAATAGGTCAATATCTTTCTGGTCTCCGAACCCTGAACCCGAACCAGGTTCAGAGATTTGTCAATGAACCCAAACTAGAAGGAGGGTTCACATCCCTGCTCTGAACCCGTACCATTTTTTTGTCAAAAGGTTCACATCCGTAATTTATCTTCATTTTAGTAGTATACTATTCTTATTTTTGGTAATCTAATTTTTTCTGATGGTAGAATGGGCATAAAAACATGTAAATTATTAGAGTATTATGTTCAAATTAATAATAGCAGGAATGAATCGAATAATGATTTGTATTCATAATGGTTAATATTCGAATAACTTTGTTCGAATAAACAGAAATGGATATTTGTGAATATAGTTCTCAAAATAAAATATTCTTCTTCGACTCATAAAATCAAAGTGTTAATATTTATCTATCTATATATTAACTATATTTCTTTTTTACGTTCATATTGTCATTATTTGAAAAATGTAAATTGATTATTTCGTTGTGTAATTGAAGGATTTTTTAGTATGTAAATTTTAATTGTTAAAATTATTATAAATAGTGATTGTAAATGTTTAAAAAAAGATTAGGGGAAATGTTATGATAAAAGTTATATTTTTCATTTTTCATTTTATAATTTTACTTTGTTAATGTTATGAGAATTTTTTTAATTTAATTATTAACTTCTCACGTTTGTATAAAATAAAATTAAATTAAAGTCATTTTGTGTTTGTTGTTATATATTAAATTAATTCTTTAGTTTCTTAATTGACAACCTGCGTTATAATATTACAGTGGGGTCAATAGAGGAATAAAGGTTGTTTTTTTGGAAAAAATTTAACAGAGCCTTCGTATTCTTTCAGTCTAATTCGAATATAGTATTATAAAGGATAACGGTAAGAAAAAAGAAAAATATTCATGATAATATTGTTAGTATGTTATTTTGGTAAATTATTTTAGAAAGATTAAGATAATTTTAATTCGATATTAAGTACTTAATAAAAAAAATGTATTAACACAGATCGATATAAGTTTTTTGGTTAAAAATTGGTTCTTAATTTTGGCATTATGCTTGGTAAGTTTCAATATCAGGCTATATAAAGATGAGATAAAAACAGTAGAGGAGATGAGAAAAATGGTTAAAGAAGAAAATATAAGGAATAATTTGGAGAAAGTATGTATCACATGTGGTCAATCAGGTCATATAGCACGCCAATGTGAGATGACTAAAGATTAAAGGTGCGTGAAATGTGGCCGGCACGGACATGTAGCAATGAATTGTAGAAGTAATATAAGATTTTCAATGGGCTAAGCGGTCATTTGGAAAGAGAAGTGTAATAAATTAAGGTAATTATAATAATAATAAATTTAAATTTTATGTCTAAAATTTGTATGAATGATAAGAAACAAGAATACGAAGAAAAAGTTGTTGGATACAGGAACAGAGATTAGTTTGCTAAATAAAGATTTTAACGAAAATTGGCCAGGAAAAGATTTCATAACTAGAAGTAAAAGAGTTAAGGAATTAATAGTATTTTTAAAATTATATGTTTTTATGTGATGAAATTTATAGATATTTATAAGGAAATAATTTTGTGATTACAACCTTAAAGATAGAACCAATTCTAGGTTGGGGCGGCATTTAGGAAATAGGTCCTTCTTACAATTGGTGGAATCTGTTTGAAACGACCCAAAAAATCAATAATAGATAGTTACAAATTCAATTTAGAAGTTAAGCAAGGGATAATTCTCGATAAATTGCGAAATCGAACATCAGAGATTTTAATCAGATATAGAAACAAAGATTGATGACAGCATTCATAGTAGATAAGATATAAAGAAGTTGTATTATAGTTATTTAAAGCTGATGATTTATGAAATTTATAGTTAACAGAAGTTTTTGGTAAACTTAGAAACCAACGGAATCTAATTGAATTAAATTCTTATTAAAAATTACGTTGAACTTTTATTTAAGTTGATAATGTTTGGTAAAATATTCGGTTGTTTAACCAAAATCTACAGGAAGAGAAAAGGCTTTCAGTAGAAAATTCATGTCGTAATCGAGCTCAATTAGAGAAATCGGAATTTTATTTTGGATTATTAATAAGATCTGAGGTCAATTATGCAACATTCATCTAGGAATAGTAAAAAGAAAGAAGATTTACAAAAGTTGTAGATTGTTTTAAAAAAGTATAACGATTATAAAGTTTCGAAAAGAAGAATTTGAAGTTTAAAAAATTGATTAAAAAAAGGTAAAATTAGATCAAGAAATGGGTGGTATAACGAAAAGATGTGAAAATGGAAATGATTTTGGTTTTTTTTTTGAAAAACGAAATATATTAGTTTATCGTAAAGATACTTTGCAAATTTCAAATTATGAGATTTTTAGGTATTGATTAAGAAAATTGGTGTAAATTCAGCATTATATATTGTGGACAAAAGATGACGATCAAGTTAAAGGACGATTATAGGTAAATGGTTCAAAGAAATGAGTCTAGGCTACATTGAGAGCAAAGGGATTGTGGAATTTGACGTAAGTATATAAATTTAGTATATTTGCTTAAGGTTTAATTAAGAGACAAAAATAATTCTGAAAATTAAGAGAGTAGTAGACATAATTATTTTAGGTAGAAATGGAGGAAAAGACTCGTTAGAATAAAGTCTAGAATTAGTAGTTATATCGGACTATAGAGAGCATTAGAAACCACGTATAATAGACAAAAGACCAGAAAAAAAGAATTGTTAAAGGGAGATTGTTAGAGAGAGAGACACAAATAGTATATTGAGGCTAATTAAGGGAGAGAGTCGTAATTGTCATTATATGTAAAATGTAAATTGTTTATGTCGTTATTTGTAATTGAAGGATTTTTTAGTATGCAAATTTTACTTGTTAAAATTATTATAATTAGTGATAGCAAATGCTTGAAGAGATAAAGCGAAATGTATTAATAAAATTTAATTTTTCAGTTTATATATTTAAATGTTCTCAATCTTCTAATTTTAATTATTAACTTTTCACGTTTTTATTAAATAAAAATAAAGTAATTTTGTATTTGTGTTATTTATTAAATTAATTCTTTAGTTTCTTACTTGATAACCTGTGTCATATTATTAAACATTAAGTTAAATGAAAAGTAGGATAGATAATTGACCATGAGCCTAATAATTTTTTCTTTTTAAGAAAAACAATCTTCCCGTGCATGGTTAGTTGTGTTCATGAGCGTAACAGTTGGTAAAGAAAAAAAAATATAAATATTGCAAGTCAGTAAAAGTAAAATAAATTTTCAATAACTTTATAAAGATACTGTTTCCTATCGGCCACGTTGTATTGAACCCAGGCCATGACGGCTTTGAAAACCTGTTCTTCGTTTCTAATATTCAAATCATCACTTGAAAGAATTTCTATCAATTGAGAAGATGGCAATAACAAAAACTCTTCATTAATTATAACCTGGGTCAACATTTTTAAAAAAATAGTAAATATTAATCCTACTCGCAAATCTCCATATGCTAACATTATATAAATATTATATTTTTATAAAAAATGGAAAAATTGCATCCTAAATCAAATTGCATTCTTTTTCTGCCCTAAACGTCAGCTTTTAAGATCCGTAATAGTGTGTTAAACTTTGTTTTTCCTTTTATAAATACATAAAAGATAGTAAAAATAAAAAAGTAATCTTAACTTAATCACAATCAAAATGGAGACTATAATAACAAAGCCATGATATAACACAAACAATACCTCCTGGAAAAAATTCTGGGCGAACTTGTCGGCGAAATCGTGCAGCTCGTGGCATGAGTGAATATCGGCGAAGGCTCGAATACCTAAGCAGTTGGCGGGCTCGAGTTGTTTCCTCAGGAAGTCGCAGCAGGCCTCTTGCACGTCCGTCATTTGAAAAAGGCAGGCGATGGGCAAGAGGGCTTGAACGTTGGACTCCTCGATCAAGATGGTCGAGGTGTAGACAAAGTCTTTATATATGTGTATTATATTTAAAACTTCCTTAGAAAGCCAAGCAGGTTATTACTGTAATTAGACTCTTATTAACTCAATCGGTCCTTTTCACGTGGAACCTTGAACATAACTTTAATAATTTCCCAACCGTTTGTGCAGAAATTTATTGGAAGGAGTGAATTCATTAGGCGAATAATAAATATTTTGATTCGCCAAAAAATATGCCAAATTTAAATAGAATATATTTTACAATTAAATTTTTGCCGGATATTTATTAATATGATTTTAAATGCTATGTTAAATAATAGTTTTGCTAGCAATGAGATTTTTGAACTCTAAGACCTTCTTTGGCTTTAATTATCATATTTAATAATGTTTTGGATGATATAAAAAAATCAGTAGAGACTTCCTATGAAACATTGTAAGATAACAAGTTGATCATCTGATAATGGTAAAAATATGTTTCACTAATCCACTGCTCAAACTCGGCTAAGCTGATATGGTATAATAATTTCATTTTTCTTTAATATGCTCAAATAATTTTAATTGAATTTTTCTTAGTATGACAATTTCTTTTCTTTTAGACTTTCCATAATTGCTTAAATCCAAGGTCACATTTCTATTATCCCTTGATCGTTCTTCTAATTTTATAAATATTTTTAATTTTAAATAATACGTGTAGCAAAAGTTTGTAGAACAAGTAAAAAGAATAAAACATAGCAAATAGTTTAAAACATAGCAAACTTTAAAAATCATGTCATATAAATTGTTCCCCTTAATTAGTTTTAATTTATTTTATTTTCATAAATCTTTTTATACTAATATTCGATAATGGCAATTTTGCCAAAATATTATAAATTCAATTTTACTTTTATATATAATTTTGCGAATAATTTTAATTACTTAAAATATAATTATAAATGACTTTTTATATTAAATCATAAAATATTTTTTTCCTATTTTTTCCCATTTTCCTTGAATGAATTTTGTGAAAAATGTCAATGAAACTTGTAAACATTGACTATGATCGATCAGATAACGCAAAGAGGTCTCGGCCTGAGAGAATGGGGTTTAAAAGGTTTTTAAAATTCTAAAGATTTTGAAGAAAAAAGACAATATAAGTTGGTAAGTAAATATTTATATTTATTTTTATATAAATGTGAATTAGATTATCAATGATTAACGATTGCTAAAAATATAAACTTTGATTTATTATACATAATGAAATAAGAAAAATTTATAATATATCGTTAAAACAAAATTTTTCCTCAGATTCTAATTACATATATAAATTATTATTTTAATTATAATTATTTATAAAAAAAAAGTATAAAATAAAAGTTCTGTTTGTTTTAAGAGGTTCAAATCCTTTCTTAGTTATCTTTATATCATTTTAACCACCTCAACGAAAAAATTTTCTATCTAGTACAAATAATATTTTTAAAAAGATTTCAAGTATGCAAAAAAATGATAAAATGACCTAATAAGAATATTAAGAATACACAATTAAACCCTTTTTTAAAATAAAATATTATTATTTAGGTTATATCATAAATCTTTATTTTATTTCATATGAGCGCATAATTTAAAAACAAATGTTCAAAAAATTATTAAAGCTTATGTATAAATATTAAATTAGAAAATAAAATATTATAATTAGTTCCCATTCATATTATATACTGTTTTTTATTCCATACTTTACGAGAAATGAATCAATAAAATTCCTTATCCCATTTTTTGATTTTCATTTATTTTTGTTTCCTATAGCTATTGTAACTGTTAGTGTCAAAGAAAGAATGGCCCGATTAAATTATAATCAAAATAATATTATGAAAGCCTGGAGATTTTGCTCATAGATGGCAGAAAGGTTTGGATACCTATTTGCCAAATTTTGAGGCTTACATAATATTATTTGGGCAAAAATCGTAATCAGGCCATCTTTAAAAATAGACCCAAATCGGGGTTTTTAACAATAGTAACTGTTATTTTTTCTAAATAACGGTAACATCTACCATTAACCATTTTTGAGGTAACGGTAACTTAATTGTTACATATTTTTTCTTTATGATAGTAATGGCAACTGTTAATTTCTAAGAACGTGACCAACTATAATTATTCTGATATTCAATATATTTTTAAGCCTTGAGAGATTTCATCTTTGATTTACTTGACTCAAATTGAGATCGGCTCATTACTCAAATATAGTTTTTATTAAATAAATATCTTTTTAGGAACATAGTGACTAACAGTGTATTTTGATTATGGGCAATAAATTAATAGTGGTATTACATTACAGGCGATGTTAAACGGCTCGATTTGAACCGATTTTAAAAACGGCTAACTCAGTATTTTAGCTAGAAAAATATTGCCTTGACCTAGAGATTTCGCTAATGTCTAAACCTTATGAGCAAAATTTTCTGGATAAAATATTGAGTTATAAGTTTTTAAAAATCGTCTTAAATGGTAAGCGGAAAATAATTCCCCGGAAAAAAAATCCCCGAAAATAATTCTTAAAAATAATTCCATGGAATTGATTTTCTCAAAATTCTTAAATATTTTATTTGAGGATTTTTATTTCGTGGATATATTTTAGGGAATTATTTCTCCTATTTTATTAATTTTGTAATTTTTACTATCTTAAAAAACGGTGATTTTTTTTCCATTCGTCTTAAATCGAGCTATTTAACAAACTAGTTATACAGGTAGTGTTTAGTTTTCCATTTTGAAAATATAATGAAAAGTTTCTTTAACCGTTATTACGTTTGTTTTTTGTTATTTTTTAAAAATTTTACGATTCTTTTGAAGCAAAAATAAAATGAAAACGAGGCTTCCACAGATAGTCTTCTCATCCCTTCAATCCACCAGATTGTAATTTTTACCAGTGACGAAATAGTCAATGCTATCAATTCTTTCAACAAAAATTCAGCAGGTGGTCTTGATGGTTTCAAACACTCCTATTTTCACTACTTAATTAATTCAAAAAATCTATTCTATAGTTCTGTCATCAAGGTTTTAACAACTTTTTGTAAAAACATAATTAATAATGATATCCCAATACAAACTCACCAAATCCTTTTGGGTGCACGTCTTATTGCTTTATCCAAGCCAGATAATGGTACCCGTCCCATTGCAGTAGGCTCCTTTTCAGAAGATTAATAGCCAAAATCATAATCGAACGCATCAAACTTGATGCTGCCAACATTTTACACTCTTATCAACAGGTTTTGGAACCAAGGGCGGCTGCGAAATGCAGTTCATACCTTAAGAATTTACCCACCAGAATCTGTAATAAATTAGATTTCAAAAATGCCTTCAATAGCCTACATCGTACCTCTTTTTTATATTCTTCTATGAAATTTTTCCGTGTTACTCTAAATCTATTGAATCCTCATATGGCTTTCAGACGCCTCTGACATATGGATCTTTTCAGATTTTATCCCAAGAAGGCATCCAACAGGGGGATCCATTAGGACCTCTTCTTTTTTGTTTTGGAATCCATCATCTCATCTACCAAATAAAACAAAATTTCGACCTATATCTTAATCTATGGTATTGAGACGAAGTACCATCCGTGGCCCCTCAGCTAATGTACTTAGCGCCTTAAAATACCTGGAAATCAATTCCCAAACTATCGGTCTGGTACTCATCAAAAAATAAAACTTAATTATGTTTTTAAACAATAAGCCACAAAAGTTGGAAGGCTACAAAATCATTGCTCCCGATAGTTTAACCCTACTTGGGTCCCCATTAGCCAATGCTACCAAGTCTAAAAATTTCCTTCATAACATTTTTAAAAGCTTTTACAGCATGGAGAACATTCAATGTCACCTACCAGCACACCAAAGTTTATTTTTAATACGCAAATGCCTTTATATACCTAAATTTTTGCACATTTTCCGATCATTATCTTCTTTCAAAAACAACGAATTCATATCTATAATTCAGGATAAATTTTAAATATTTCTAGAAAAAATTTTAAACATAAATTTAAACTCATTCAATTGGTTACTTGCTCAGCTACCTTCTAAACTTGGCGGTTTAGATTTTTTGCCACTCAATCTTTTATCCTTATCATCATTCGTATCATCCAGATTATCAAACAATTCTATGATTTTTGGCTTCATATGCCCTACCGATCGTTTATTAGATGACGCTATTGACAAATGGAAGGCAAATATACCCATTAACACTGACTTACCATCAATCATCACACACAAATAATTTTTCACACCTTCAATCTCAAAATACCAAACAGATATATCAGTCAATCCACCTTTAGATTGCATTCAACTCCTTCAATTATCTGACAGACTTGGTGGTCATGAATAGTTAGAATCACTCCCTAGTCATAACCTTGGTAATCTCTTATCAGATGAACAATTGAGAGTAACCATTGGTTTACGTCTAGGTTGTGACATCGTACAGCCTCATGCTTGCATCAAATGCAAATCACCTGTCGATTCAAAGGGTAGGCATGACCTTAATTGTATATTTAGTCAAGGGCGACATCAACGCCACAGTAAACCATATAATAAATAGAAGCCTAACAGCTGCCCACATTCCGAACAATCTTGAACCATCAAACTTATCTCAAGTAGATGGCTTAAGACCTGGTGGTATGACAACCATACCTTGGGCACTCGGTAAATCACTTATATAGGATTACACATGTGTCTCATCATTCCCTTCAAACATAAATTTCAATTTTATAACACGGGCGGAAATTAAAAACAAACAAATATAAAAATTTTAAAAACTTCATACGAACGTGCATTTTTCGCCTTCAACATTTATGATTTTAAAAAATAAAATACGACTTTTCACAAATGAACCCAGAAAATTTCTTTTTATTCGACAAAAAATCCAAATAGAAATTTTTAGACACAAATATGGTTCCTTTTTGGGGACTCAATTATGGAATTTTAATTTTGATTATATAAATTATAAATTTAGAAATATTTTTTTTTTAAAGGTTTTATAAAAAAGAAATTTAATAAAATATTTTAATTGTGTTAAA